ATTTTCAGTTGAATTTGGGGAAACCACTTGAAGGATTCGTTGTATTGAGCTATTTCAATTGCTTTTGTTTGATTTGTTCATTACAAACAGCTGAAAATCGGTACATTTTGACAATAAACCTGATTTGCAATAGGGGTTGAATAATTTTGATTGCAACTGTATATGGTAAGCCTTTTTTGTATTAAATATACCATATGCAATCTCTAGTGTGAATATGCTGATGATCTGCCCCTACATGTGGTATAGTCATAAAATCGTACATATTTAAGACTGTATAGATTCATGTGTTTTGTTCTGAGTGTTGATACAATTTATTCTAGGTCTATCCGCCAGCATATTAGCAATTAAAAAGTGAGGAAGCCTAATTCCCTTGATAGCAATCTGGAAAATAGGTATCCTAGCACATGAGACCACTGGATTTAACTATTCTTCCACTTCCTGGCTTGCCTTCATTGTCCAAACAGCTAAGGGCTTTTTATGAATAAAAACAAATGTTGTATCTGAAAATAACATTTCTCCCCTAACTTTTGGAAGGGTCTGTTTTAGCACCATATTGCATGCTACACATTAGGTCTGTACAGCACTTTGGATTTGATTCCAAAAAGGTACTTTGGAGCATGTGGGAACACAAACATAGTACCATATGTCTTTAAGGTGTCACAGGAGTTTTCTTCTTGTTTTTGCTGCAGAAGAATAACATGGCTGCTATCCTTTGGAAAAGTTGAATTTAATGGATAATATACCTGGACAACACTAATATGGGAAATAATTATGTTCTTGATTCTTTTCTGCAACAGCTCAGGTTCAAGTGATATGAGAACTACACAGATGAACTATCGGGGAGCATCAATTATGCTGCTCAGGTAGTGTAAAAACAGTATTTGCTGACTAAAGCTTAAATTCACCAGCGTTTTTTTTTTCTTTAAGAAGGAAGCAAACATGGTCAGTAATGATAGAAATTTATCCTAATCACAATTTTTTACAATATGCCCTAAGGGCAGAATAGAAATCTAATCAGCAAGTAATAAATGTGTAAAAATATTGTTGTGGAATCCTATCCAGATTCACAGGACTTGCACCAGCGTGATCTATGTGCCTAGTGTGATCAGCATCAATGTTTAAGAATGAAATCAAGCATTGAACACACATATAGTGTACAAAACCAAACAGGCAAGCAGTCATTGGAAAACAAAGCTTGTAATAATGAAAAAGACAGATTAATAAATCAATCACTTTTTCCTTTTAAAAGCACAAACCACATTAACTCTTTTTATACAACCATCTAAGATCTATGAAACAGTACCACATTGTGCATTTTTTAAACCTACTTATCAAGAAAGTTAATTCCACACTTCAGAAAAGTCTTATATCCATGGGAGGAGAATAGGGGAGGGAGAAGGAGACAGCTAATAGCGCAATCACAGAAAACATCATTATGAGTCCAAGCAAGCGGCAAGTCTTTTCTTCTCCTTTTCCACTGAACCAAAAGAGGAGTGGAGAAGGGGATAGAGAAAGGAAGAAAGTAAAGAGAAAAGCATCCACAAGAGGACTATATCACAATCCATAGTTACTTTTGACACCTACAGCTTGGGTTTTGTAATATATAATAATCATTTAGACCAACACACCAGTAAGGTGAAAAATGGGAATGAGATAGAGCTCAATATAGCAGCAGGGCAAAGTTGGAAATTAAAAGGCAAGTTTGTTGCCATCTCCAATCATCATTTCAAGAATTCTTACAGTATAAGGCTGAACGCTTTAAACATGGTGGAGACAATTTACAGCTTAGCATGGCAAATGGACACTATCGGCATATACAGATACAAGGATTGCAGTTCATAGCCCAGTTATCAACCCTATAGCTCCTTTACTCTACCTAGTCCAGCAGTGTAAAGAAAGGAAAAAAGTGGTTTCTCAACATCAAGTTCATAAAGATTTGGAAGCAGGATATATCCAAGCGCGCACTCTCCAATTAGAACTGGCAAAATTATTTTGGCAACATTGTTGCTTTCTCATGTTAAATCACTCATACTGATATAAGGAGCAGAAAAAAAATATAGGGGAAGGTATTAAAAGCATAAAAATGAGTCTTTTTTCCATAAACCAAAAAAATCTTCTTTCCTTTTTAATAACCATTTACAAAAAACAATATTTATGCCAGAACAACTTCTTCCAACACATACTGACCAACTTGTTTGCAGAAAGATTAAAAAAATTATACAGGGGACTAATGTAATCGCCCAATTTAGCATGGTGCTTAGAAAAGGAAACAGTTCTGTCTTACCTGGCAACTGTACCTGACTGACTGAATTGCTCTAGATCTAACAACAGTAGTAGGTTCTAAAATCTGGAATTCCAATTTATGCCTTCTGGCTTTTTTATGACTCTTAAGAGAAAAATGAAATAGTCAAAAGATCAAGTTTGTTATATATCATGAGCAAATCTTCCTACCCAAGTTAAATTTTTCCTCCCTGCCCTTTGCAGATTTATGATACTGCAAGATTAGAGGCCTCATCAATAACGCTTCCTTGAAAAGGAAAATATGAGACAATAAAATCATGGATTAAAACTGTTCATGTGTATGTTTTGAAGAAGCTTAGAAATATCTAGATGCTGAAAGGATGCTTAGAAATATCTAGATGATATGCTAATTTAAATATAACATTTCTCCACAGAAAATAAGTATACTGGACAAGTTTTTGTTCAATGAAATTTTTTTTGGGGGGGGGACCAACTTCCTTAATGATGAAATTGTTTGATGTTATTAAGAAGTTTAAAAAGTAAATGATCTATACAAAGCTGCTCCTTCCACCCCTTCCATATAAGCTTGTCATCAATTTCAAACCAAAGTCCAGAATAACACAATGGAGTTTGCTACAGGAATGATAGCAGGGCATTCCCTACTTAGACACCAGAACTATATACTTTTTCCTGAATAATGCTTAAACGTCCAGCATGAGAACTTTTATTTATTTTTCTAGAAAGACCACTTGCTTGGGACAATTAAGAAGATAAAGAAAATTGGGTAATAAAAAGCAAAGCATGAAAAAAGCCTTTTTTTCCCCTTGTATGCACAGAACAAAGCCTGATTCCATTGCAAGAATATTCCTAATGCTCTCCACAACTGGGCAACCCTTGTGGAGAATGGACAGTGAGCAAGGGAATTATTTTAATTCAAATATAGCAAAGTGTTCTCCCTCTGACAAAACAAGGAAAGGTAAAACTCCTTTGAAAGAGGAAAACAAAAAGTAGCAAAGTGCTTCTCCATATCCTCACAAAGATGCTTCTAACCACCTTCTTGGCAGAGGGTCAGTTCCATTCTATTTCCACAACAGGTGAAAACCACTTCAGAAGGCATTAGTTCCCATGAAGTTCATATATATTTCTCTTCTCCCTCTGTCACCTAGGTCAAAGAAAATCTAACCATTATGTAACAGTACATTAATTCTATTTGCCAGAGATGGAAAGGGTCAAGTAGAAAGACCAAAAGCATCAACCCTTTTTTCAAGTCTTTAATTTTGTGGGGAAAAAATCTTCTAAATGTTTTTGGCCAGTTACAAGGTATTTTCCTACACTCCAGGAAAATGGAATCAGTGTCCTAGCTATCCCAATAGTCCATCTTACTGATTCTAAAAGCTCACTACATGAGAAATTCCAATATAATGGTTTTAATGAACAACAATTCTGCACTGACCATCCACAGGAAAATATGATGAACTCTGGAGATGAACCTCTACATTAGAGAGAGGTGTAAATCCCAACTTCTTAAGTTAGGCTACCAAGCATAAATTCTTCAGGACACATATTTTTTTCAAATATCCATGCTGAACATCCATGTGGGCTTTATAATAACTAGCTTAATAAAAGTACTCGTATTCAAAGATTGTAGGGCTTCTTGATGACAGCAGCCTTGGGGGAGGGTTAGTTAACGAACTTGGCTAATCACTATATAGATTCAAAGAACACAATATACAATGTACGAATGCTAGTCAAGTTCTCTAAATCTAAATCTAAATCTGGATTTATTGCTTCCATGTAAAATGCTGTATTATGCACAAGGCAGTGACTTTTTTCCATCAGCTGATGGTGGTATGAAAAAAAAAAAACATTGTTGATTGTGGTATATATGCTCTTCCTACTCTTGATAGGCAAATTATTTCAGATTGCCAATACTTCTAAACTTATTCAATCAAAGGTGACAATACAACACACAAAAATTCTGAATTGATACCAAAGGGAAATATAACTTCTAATACTCCATTTTCAGTTATATTTATAACTATCAGCTGTCTAAGTCTTTCTCTTTAGACTATCATGAGCTCACCAGCTCAATTTCCACCATCAGGCTGCTCCTTCTGCTTAATCCTCATATGTCAGAATCCTTCTGTATATCCTGAATAAATCTTTCCATTTTATGTCTTTGGCAGGAAGAACTTAGGAGACTCATGATTTATTCAGATTAGCATTCCTTAAGCAGACTGACCTCTCATATTTGTGCAACTGAATGTATAAGTAGTTGCCATTATTCACATAAAGTTGTTGGTAGTACTGTATTATTGTAATATGTAAAATACAAAAAAACAAAAATCATTGGACTGCAGACTCCTCATCTTGCTACAAAACAGGATCAGCTTAGAGGGAGAGTCCTGGATTCCAAAATCCAAATTTTCTACTAGAACAGCCTGATACTAGAATACCAAGCAATAATTGCTACACAGCAGAAGCACAAATAATGCACAACTCCAAGATCTAATTGCATTACTACCACAATGCCCTAAATCTTCTACCAAGTTAAAGCACAATAAAAATAACTGATTTAAAGTCTCATTCTACAACTCTCTTGCCTGTCAATGGGCCCTGATTTGAACTTAATTTGTTTTGCCAGAAATTTGTTTTCTAGTTCCTTATGGCTACAGGGATATTATGCATACTATTTTTAAGTCACAGTTGCCTTACAAAATAAATCTTGTGAATGGCTTGAAAGATAAAATAAGGAAATAAATTATTACAGACACAATTATGAATTAAGGGGAAAAAAAGGTTAAAAGAGGAGTCCTCTTTGCTTAAAAGTATGCTTGTGATTTGCAAACCAAAGATTATACAGGAGAAAGGAACTACCATCTAAAAACCTAAACAAGAACAACACAGTCCTTGCTGTGAAGTCCTATATCAGGATCAGAGTTAAGAAAATCTGAAATAGCTTCTCCCATTATATGGTGGTGATCTCACAAATGCACACATTGTGTAACAGCACATTAAGCTTTCATTTGCTAATATGAAGTACAAATGCTTGGCATACACAACACAGGCTTTCTACTACAAGGAGAGGGTGTGGTCATCTTAAGCATTCATGCTGCTCTATCCTATGGATGCTGGAGGCCAATATGGAATTAAAAAAAAAAATCAACTGGAAACTTTTTTAAAAAAAGAATTTACTAAAGCGTATGACCATCTACCATAAGTCCAATTAGCAGTGCCACTCATAATGCTTGTAAAAGTCAGGCCTAGCACCACACTGGAAATCTAGGACTTGGGGTAGGTAGGTTTAAAAAATGAAACAAAAGTTAACCTGAGGATGTTCTTGGACAGTGATTGTCAGACAAGTCTTTGCCAAATTATGGCAAAATATTTTTATTTATTAAAAAAAATTAAAGAGCCCTTTCTATAGCAATACCAACTTCCTCAATTTTTAGAGACTACACAGCCTCCAGATGACATAAATGACAAGCTGTTGAGTGTCTGCCTAAACCCGGTATATACTGCTGAATGAGTAATCCTATGTCTCCTACAAGACAGACATTGTCTCAATCAGTTTTTTTTCCTCTATTATTTAGCTGAAGTGAATGAACCATACATACAGGAACTCCCTATTTAAAAATGGGATGATGTCCTGGAGACTCAGCTCATTAAAATGAAAACCATTCTTAAATGTACAAACAAAGGCTTTCTTGCATGGATGTCTGATGAACTACACAGGATTAGCTCTAATTTTTTTCCAACAGAAATCTGGAGATCATGTTACTATTTCTGTGGAGGCACGCATACAAAGATGATCTGGCTAAGGAAGGTGACAAGGTTTCTGCGGGACCAGCAGCAGCAAGTAAAACCCAACAGCAACTTTGGCTTAAAATCAATCAATCAATAAAAAGAAGAAAAATAAAAAATCAGACAGGTTAAGCTGGTGCAAGTTCTCTCAAAGAGGTATTTTAAAGGGCTTAACCTTGCAGCAAGAGAGATCCAGGATCTACATCCCCTCCTCCCCAACCACTTGCCTTTTTTTTTTTTTTTTTTAAAGAGTTACCACCTTCATTGCACAGGACTCAAAACCATTCTCATATGGTTAACTATCATAAATAATGTGAAAACTATGTGCAACAAATACATCATATTTCAAAAAAAATTATAAGAAAGTTACATCAAATTAAAAAGTAGCTTCGTGAATGAAGGTACTGCTCTAAGTGCACTTTCCCGGCAAGTGCAGCCAGTGCCTTGGCACCGGATATGAAAGAAAACACCAAAAACCAGAGCGCGAGCCAGAGTTAAAAACGCTGGTCCAGTTTCAACCAGTCAAAACTGGACTGAGCAGAGACCGAGTGATTTCTCAGTAAAGTCCCATTAGGGAGTCCAAATGATGCTTCTTCATCCAGATTATATGTCCTTGAAGAGATTGTAAACAATCTTTAAGACAGCTCCTTCCTTAAATGTCCCTCTGATTGGCAAAACAAAGTTAGATTTATATTTTAAAAACAAGAAATCAAATTAAAACCAGAAGAAAAGAAAAGAAAACACAGTGAGCTTGTTGGAGTCCATAGGAACCGGTCCGGAAGAGCTCAGAAAGTGTGTTCAGATTTTTCTCCTGTTTTTAGCTGGAACTATACCAGAGGATGGGCTGGGTGGCATTTGGGGTTGGGGAGGTAATAAAGCATGAGGGATATGGAACTTTGCTCTGTGCGCATTTCATGTGTTTGCTTCATCATCTGTGTCTTCTATTAATACTTTGGTGTCATGGATCTTCGACCTGAGAAAACAGAAAATTAAACTCTGATTAACAGTTTGTTTATTTATTTGATAGATTGGTTTATATAGCCACCTGTCTCACACAAGTGACTCCGGGCATCTTACAAGATTAAAAGAAACAACCCTCTCCCAAACATCACCCCTGGCACCCAAGGATAAACTGCTAACCTCACTCACCATCAATACGAGCAGAGTTCACCTACCCCCTGACCCAAATACCTGGGGAAACAGCCATCTATACATTCAAAACAAGATATAAGCAAAGGAATTTTGGCCAGGCGTATAAATCTTTATTGAACTGAATAAATATTATATATCAACAGCTCCCTCTGCTGAGTACTTGCCAGTATGAAAAAAACCCAGAAGATAAAGCAGTTCTACTGAAATGGGCATTCACTGTATTCACTGTTCTCACAGAATAAGCAAAATGATCAATTAGAAGCTAAGTTAAACAGTGATGCTCCACGATCAGAACATATTTTACATCTGTTACAACCTTCCTGTCATGAATGATTTTATTATTTTTTTAATTCAAGGGGAAAAAAATCAATTGAAACCCAAACACTGAGTCTGTTGGTATAGACATCTTTGTTTCCAATCATTATTCTAGTCCACTACATGGACTTGAGGCAAAAATAAGAAAACTAGCCAGGGAAAGCATGCAGAGCATGGCTTCTGGAATTCCTTCCAACCCCATTAGTAGCACTGGTCATAGCACACATACAAATATATTTTCTTCTATGTAGCAAGATGATATACTGAATGCTCATGTGTGTGTTTCTGCCCTTATGTTTGCATTTCTACATGTGTACTGGGAAGCACAGGGCAGGCTGCATATGCTCCAATCTGGGTCATGTGACCCAGAAGGAAGGGGGCTTAGACTGGAGGAACTGGCTAGATTGTAAACTGCTGCTGGTCACCTACCTCTTCTATAGGGGTATATTCCAGAACTTTTTTCTGGAATGTTTTTCTTCACAGCTCCTGGTCAAATATCAGTACAGTGACCCTTCATCCTTTATTACAAGTATTACTTATAGTAATTAGTATAGTATTACTTATAGTAATACTGTATTATCAGTACATTGACCCTTCATCCTTTATTATAAGTGACAGTCCTTTATTTCAGTCTTCAGAAAGACTGTCCTTTAAATTTATTTATTTTTCAAAAACTCACTTTTGTCCTTTATTTTAGTCATTTAACTTTTACCATACAAATGGTACCACTTAATGTAGTATTTCACATTCATGTGAAAAATATAGAAATTGAATTGTCTTTTTAAAATAAATTTACACATACTGTTTGATTTTAGATATCTTTATCAGAATATGTGTTTTTGTAAAGCTTTTCTTGGTTTTGCTCTTGAATTTTCCTTTGTAAACCAAAGTTATAAACATAAAAAAAAAATTTTTTATCCTTATGAACCTCTTTCAGATTTGCCCCTTTTTCGGGTTTGTCCTTTATTTTTTTCCAAGAAAATATGGTCACCATAAATATCAGCCAATTTTGGACTTGATCTTTCTTTTACCAGCTTCTTCCCCCATAGCAAATTTGGTCCTGTTCTTTTCCATTTTCAGAGAGTTCTCTGGTGATGGACAAACAGAGTCCTGAGCCCTTTTGCTTAATTTCTTTCCAATATTCTGTTGGAAAGAATCAAAATGGCAGGCCCCTGAAGTTCATCTTTCCCTCTCATCATGAAGAAACAAAAAGAAAAAATGTATGTGTGAACTAAAGAGAATAACTGAGAATAAAACAGTATTTTGCTTTTGCTGTGTATATGTGTGCATGTGAAAGTGTCTAGATGTATGTGTTAACCTGGATACAAAATGAGAAAATGAATAGGGATTTTAAATGTAGTTTCCAAACTTTTTTTTCAAAATCAGCATCCTGAATTTCCAAATCCATCTGAGCCAATACACTGCATATGCCTTCTAGTTTGTGGCATGCAGTAAATAGAATGTTGGCTTGCAAAGTAACCTCTAGATTCTAGAATTTGATTAGATTCTAGCAGTAGGGTTCAGGTTCATTCTAATCTGGCAGGAAAAAAAATTCTGGTAGAATGCCATGAACACATGGACATGAACAAGATGAAACAGAACTAAAAAAGTGATGAGGCATTTAGAGACCCAAGAAAGAATGAAAATGGTGACTTGGGAATAGCTGCTTAAAAAAAAGTCTGTTATTAATGTTTTATAGCAATGGCATGAATATAAATCTAAAACCAAGACTGATTGTTTATGATGAAAGATTGGCAGGAAAGGATTAGTGAAAAATTCAAGAGTGATGAGAGGTTCTGAATGTGAGACAGACCATTTTTTGGAAGTATCAAAAATGGATTGGAGGAAAATGGTCAAGGAAGAAGAGGGAAAAAGTGAAACAAGAGTGAAAGTAGAATAACTTCAGGAAGATACAAGTATATAAAGAAGTAATATAAAATGGATTAATAGAAGCAATTAAAGAGGACATGGAAGCTTCCTAGAATAGTGTAAAAACAATTACATTATAAAGTGCCACATAAGTGTGTGGAATCAGGCTAATAGGGAGTATACAGAAGTATGCTTGTTGGAATAATAAAGTGAAAGAGAATGAGGATGAGAAAAATGCATATAAAAATGGTTGCTGTGAAAAATGAGAATATGCAAACACAGAGACACACATATATAAAATCAGTAAATACAGAAAATGAATTTCAAAAAATATAGTCAGAGAATAAGGACTGGTAAAAATTAAAAGTGGCAGAGCAAATGAGTAACATTTTGATGGAAATAAAAAATGGTTCTGGAAGTAGAAGAAGAGGGCTAAAGAAGGAGCCTCCAGCAGAGTGAATGGAATTAAAAATAAAAGCAATGAATGCTGGAAGGAGGTATTGCTTTTTGTCAAATAAATTCCAATATATTTAACTTTTAGTAGTAATATTAAACCCCATTATTTAGTACAAATACAAGGTATAGATTTTTGACTATGAAAATCATACTGGAATAAGAAAATTAGGCAGAAGATAGACCCTGCAAAGGGGCAGTGGCAGGATCCACCAGCTCAGTGCATGGTGACAGCTCAGCAGCTGCTTTATTAGGAGTGCAGTACAGGTAGTCTTTGACTTAAGACCATTCAATCAGCAACCATTTGAAGTTATGATGGTGCTGAACAAAGGGACTTACAACTGGTCCCCAAAGACTGGGAGAGTAAAGAGCTCTTACAGCTTGAGGACAGAGGAGAAGCAGGAAATGAAATCCCTTGTTTGGATGCTGGCTTGAATTTAAAGCCAAAAGCTGTTTACTAATACCCCAAATAGTTATTTCAATCAACAGCCAACTAAAGGTTGGTAATAACTAAACAAATTAATTTCAAATGCTTCTTGAGAAATATGTGGTAAAACTACAAGAAGGGGTATCAAAAGCTAAATCTCCAGAGAGACAGAATAACAAGCACTGTACTAAAATGGTTTGGACAGGACAGCAGCAAATGCAGCAGTAATGAAGGTTGAGAAGGGAAAAGAGACAGTAAGAAAGGATAGAAAAATTCCCCATCCCTGGGTGTCATACCTTCACAAAGATGGCACTGTATATTATCTTTCTTGCCTGAGCACACATGATAAAAACAGTGGCAACTCCTATATTTTGCAACAGGATGATCTTGTTGTGAATGAAATGCATAACCGGAAGGCAATTATGCATTCTCTTACCCAGCTCCTGTGATTCAGGTATACCAAGGCAATCTGAGAAATATTATATGGCTCCCAAGTTACCATGGCTATAAGATAAATTGTATTAAA